AGGGAAATTTTTCAAGAATACAAGTCCAAAAACCCAACTGAATTTGCTCTTTTTACCCACCCAAAGCCCCTATCTTCCTCCTGTCTCGTTAGCTTGTCAATGAAAAGAATGTGATAAAGTTAAGAAAATGGAAATTAGTGGAAATTTACCAAAAAAGTGAAAATTATCAAGATAGAGAGTTGAAAAACCTACCGAATTTGCTATTTTTACCCACCCAAAGCCCCTATCTTCCTCCTGTCCCGTTAGCTTGTCAGTGGAGAAAATTTCTGTAAATTGAAGAATTAGTAGAAAATTACCATAAATAGGGAAATTTTTCAAGAATACAAGTCCAAAAACCCAACTGAATTTGCTCTTTTTACCCACCCAAAGCCCCTATCTTCCTCCTGTCCCGTTAGCTTGTCAGTGGAGAAAATTTCTTAAAATTGAAGAATTAGTAGAAAATTACCGTAAATAGGGAGAATTTTTGAAGAATAAAAGTCGAAAAACCTACCGATTTTGCTCTTTTTTTACCCACCCAAAGCCCCTATTTTCCTCCTGTCCCGTTAGTTCGCCGTCATTGGAAAAAAGAACCTAATCGAATCCTGTTTTCATCACTATTTTCTCTCTCATTTACCCACCCAAAGCCCCTGTTTTGCTTCCTGTCCTGTAAGATTGTTGCCGTGTTATTGGTAGTAGAAAAAAGAAACTGTTACGCAATCAGTAGAAACATGAGTTATGAGGTAAAATACCCATTTTTCACATTTTCTACTATTTTTGTTGGAATTCTCGTTTTTCGTATATACCATACCGGAATTTTCAGGAACGGTATACTGCCAATCATCTAAGAGACGAGGTTTCCTCTTCTCAAGAGAGAAAACCAATTGTATACATTTCTGTAGACTGAGATTAGACCACCCAGAACCAGAACTCTTCATACAAGGGCATCAATTGATGGTCAAAGACTGCATAAAATTTCTAGGCCTCATATTTGACAAGAAACTCTACTGGGCAGAACAAATCACCCAATTGAAGGCGAAGTGCCAGAGAGCTTTGAACATCATCAGGTGCATGGCAAATATCAGATGGGGTGCAGATAGGGAAATCCTTCTGAACCTCTATAGATCACTGATTCAGAGTCGATTGGACTACGGGGCCATTGTGTTCAATTCCTGTAGACCTTCAAGATTGAAAGAGTTGGACAGACTCCAGTTGACAGCTCTGAGGTTAGCTTCAGGTGCCTTCCGAACTAGCCCGGCAGCTGCAGTTCTAAGTGATACAGCTACCCTACCCCTCGATCTGAGAAGAGATCTCCAAACTATATCATACTCCTCCTCGATTGCTTCTCGACAATTCCACATGAACCATTCCATCTTCTCAGAGGATAATGAATACCTCAACAGACCGACTGTATCTAGACCAACTCGAATTCGGAATCTGGAAGCCTGTAGAAAACACTCAATTTCCGAGCACACAATACTGAGTGAAAACATGTCTCATATCCCTCCTTGGCAATTATCTATACCCAATATCAATATGGATATATCAAGGTGGAGGAAGGATGAGACACCCGCCTGGACCTATAGGGCCCTAGTTATGTCCGAACTAGAAAATTATCAAAATAGCCTTATCATTTACACGGACGGATCAAAAACTAGAGACGGAGTAGGTGCAGCAATGGTGATTGGAGAGGAAGAATATAGCTGGACCTTGAACTCCCACTGCACTATATTTTCTGCAGAAATATATGCCATTTGGCAATCTCTGTTATTTTTTTCTCATTCTGAATCGATGAGCTGCCTTATCTGTACAGACTCATTGAGTGCTATCAACACACTCGACAACAAGTTCACGAGAAACGTCTACTGCCTGAGAATTTTAGAATTGACTACTCACCTACTGTCAGAAGGTAAGCAATGTTCCCTCCTATGGATCCCCAGCCACTGCAATATCCCAGGAAACGAAAAAGCAGATCTAGCTGCAAAACGTGCAACCCTGCTCCAGGAAGATGAAGGCATCCCAATTCCTTCTGCTGACATGAAAATAGCAATCAGGGAATTGATAAACAAAACGTGGCAAGATAGATGGACGACACAGAATACCCAGCTGAATAATATAAAACCAAAAATAAAAAAATGGACTTACCCCGAATCCCTGACCAGAAAACAACAGGTTATTGCTTGCCGCCTGAGAATTGGACACTCTCATCTCACACACATCCACCTCCTAGTTGGAGACCCACGACCTCAATGCGACCACTGTGATACTAGGCTCATGATATCGCATATATTCTCATGCCCAAGCCATGTCCAGCTGAGAAATAACTATGGAATTGATCCTGCAATTGAAAATATGCTAAAAAATCTAGAGAATATTAAGAAAACTTTCACCTACCTCGAACAACTGAATTTATTCGACAAGATTTGAACGAATATTGGCAGCTACATGATCTTCGCAATCGAATGCTGCCTAATCACAAAAAAAATAATAATAATAATAATAATAATACTTTATTTTCCAATAAGACAATATTACGAATTGTATAGGAAATTGTCAGAACATAGAACAGAAGAAAAAAAAATACAAAAAATATGTAGAAAAGACGATTAAAAGATCAAGACCTATGTCTAGCCTAAAAATTCTGTCAGCGAATAATAACATTTTTGCATCAAAAAACTGTTTAGCGTCTCTTTGAAAAGAGCAAGATGCTCTGCATTCCTTATGTGGTCAGGAAGTTTATTGAAAATTCTTCTTCCGATGTGCTCAGGTGATCTGGAGGTTACTCTTAGTCTAGCAAATGGTACATGAAATTGATCTCTAATCCTGGTGTTATAGTGATGAACATTTTTATTCACTTCAAAAACTGACCTGTTTTTATATATATACAGACATATTTCTGACATATATATAGATACTAACGTTAGCACATTGAAATATATAAAGAGTGGTTTACAAGATTATGTGGCCGAGACCTTCGCAATACATCGCAATATGCGTTTTTGGGCAATGAATACATCTTGCGCCATGCTTGAACTACCCCAAAAACAGACACCATACCTGTCTGGACTCTACCTGGGAGTAATAAATATTCAGCAGCTGAGTTCTATTCAAAACCGAGCGCAAATTCATAAAAAGAAACTTCAGGGAATTAAGCTTGGAAATTAAGTGTTGACAGTGGACATTCCAGTTCAGAAACTTGTCTAGGAAAATACCCAGAAACTTGACACTTTCGTTAGTCTCCAGATATGTTACATTGTCAACCATGAAACTAAATCTTTCTATTTTATTCTGTCTATTATGTATGCGGATAATCTCTGTTTTATCTGAATTGAAAAATAAATCATGATTATAAAAAAAAATTGATATCTGACTAACTGCACTGATACATTTAATTTCCAAAATTCTGGTATCTGAGGCAGAAATAATCAAAGATAAGTCATCAGCATAGGCCGTATAATGACACCCAGCTATTACAGAATCAATATTATTGACATACAAAATAAACAGAATGGGCCCCAAAATGGATCCCTGAGGTACACCCATCTCTATATTTGAAGGTTCTGAATCAATTCTCCGAATTTCATTATTAATGGTTGCCTGAAGGGACACATACTGGCTCCGATTTTTGAGAAATGAAGATATCCAGCTGAGCGAGACACCTCTTAGTCCATACATTTCCAGTTCTGCTAAGAGCTTCTGGTGATTGACACAGTCGAACGCACGGCTTAGATCACAAAAGATTGCTGCCGGACATTCACCTGTTCCAACATATTTTATGATTTCATTGTATAATGAAAACATGGCAGTATTTGTAGATTTTTTTTTGTTATGTTGGTTCAAAAAGGAATTGAGACGATCCAGGAATGCGTACTCAAATATTTTTGAAAGTCCATATGGGACAGTTACTGGACGATAGTTTTCCATCATAGATGGTGATTTCTTTTTGAAAATTGGAGATACTTTTCCCATTTTCAACTGCTTTGGGAAAGTACCTTCTACAAATGACATATTAACAAGCATTAATTAGCGGACACCCTGTATAGTGTTATAGAAATGTTTATAATGAATGTATAATAAGGAAAATCATACTGGGCGATCTACCGTTATCACCCTTCCTAGACTTTGATCTGACCCGATTGATTTCGAAATATTCAAAACCATACAAATTTATAGGGTGTACACAGAAGATTGCCCCACATAGAAAAAATCAACTACCACCTTATAGTTCATTTGTTTCATACACCATGTAATATTTCATTTAAACGTAAAACATTTCGCTTGAAAACCCATTTTGGATGGTTTTCAAATTCTGAAATAGACCGTATTCATGTCACGATATAATAAAGTTGTGATTCCACCATGTCACGATAAAGTTGGTGGTTTCTCCACCCATATCCATTTATATCGATTTATAAGGGGTTAGCTTGGCTTGACAGTTTGCGAGAGGTAATATTCAAATAGGCACTAATAGTTTAGGGGTAACTGAAAGTATGAGACTATTTTCAAAGATAACAATATATATTGAAGCATGAATCATTATGGGTAGCGATAACAATTATGAATAAACAACAATGAATATAAAGACCTAATAACAACTTACATTATAACGACCATCACGACGAGCTCTTGTCAAGTCAAGAGTAGCCCCAGACCAGAAAATGAATCATTTTTGTGAAGCAGCACGCATGGTCCAATGTTTCATGAACTCTCGTTACATTTAAGAAGTGTCACTGAGAATATATTAAAAAACTTAATCATAAATACAGGTGAGATACGTAGGATCACTACATTTAAAGTGTGCTCGTGTGGAGTCCCATACTCAGAAGTACTTCCAGTTACCAATTCAAAGTTTGATTTATATATCACTGCATATAATATCAACCCAACCAGAATAGAAAAGGTCATTCCCAACACCATAGTTAGTGTTGAAGAATTAATAGCAGAGTTCAGGAGTTTGCAAATTAGTGATCACAAAGAGGAAGATCATATAATCAGAGAGGCTTTTAGAATATACAACAATTTGAATGACATCCCAATCAATTACACTCCCCAATGCCATTTCCAATCTTAATATTGACGATGCTGATGGCTCTAGCACTGCTGTATATAAAACAGCTGAGATATTGCCCCAATCTCTACTTAGCCATAAAGTAGAGAAGGATTACATAATGATGGGGATGACACCTCAAGACTTCATCAAGACGCATGGGTCTAGCTCGGTAGATTTTGCCCAGCTACAGAAGGACTTCACAAAGATATGTATGAACTTCTCAGACACTATAAGGATAGATGTAAAGTCTATGGCAGTTGAATTTTGCTCTAAGATGATATATGAAGTTGGCCCACAGGCTAGGCAAGTCAAAAAGACGGGTGACAAAACATGGAAATTCATGTTTATGTACAAAGTTAATGACAAGTTGGTCGTGAAGGTTGCATTTGTTAGCACCTACAAGAAAGAGGAAGCTCAATATGTTCTAGAAGCTAGCAATCAGAAAATCACTCTATCAGTTAGAAATGCTAGCCTGCTGGCCATGATGACTTTAGAGAAACTAAATGAACTGGCCATGATCCAGACACCGTCAATAATGCTACTGAGCCCCTTAGCAGGTGCAGTCTTTTCTAGGGATGATCTAACCAAGATATCAGCTGAGGTGAATACCCCTGTTGGGAAAATCATAAATATAGTAAATGCAAGTTATCAAAGTGGTGGGCACTACTTGCCAAGCAGTAGGATGCATGTCTCAGCAGTTGCTATCATAGTAGCTACTAGAAATATCAAGGATGACAAGGTGAAGCACGAAATTATAGGGAAGACTCTAAAGCAGTACATCACCCAAAAGAAGACCTGGAATGTAAATCTGTTTGGGATTTACGCAAAATACGGACATGAATAGGGTTATTTCCCTTAATTTCAGTAAAATTCATAGAAGGTTCGAAGTCATTGAACGGTCACATCTTTGTTTATTAATTCCAAAATTTTCGAATCGTGGACGAACTTTTTTCCATAGTAGTTGAACATGAACACAGGCGTGACATTGACTTCAACGAACCTGGACTATCGACCTGATTTCCTTACTGTTACGTTTCCGAAAATAAAGACCACTATTTAAAAGACGTAAGGAAGCGGGTTCGACAGTTCGACTACCGGTTCGATTGCGAGTTGGACTGCCAGTTCTAGTTCTAGCTCTATGTTTGTTATACGAGTTAGGGAAGTCTCAGTTCTACCGATTGTGAGTTTGTAAAGTTGCCGCTGTGCCCGAATCTTCAGAGTTCGGGCAGAACCCAAGATGCCCTACCTCAGGCCCCAAGAAATATCAGTAAATTTGTAAATATAGGGTCAGTTAAGTGTTTATTAATTATTGTTAATCATGAAGCAAAGAATAAATGTGTGTATATGTGTTGTTTGAAAACCCTTTTGAGTATTATTTGTTATTATCACTTTTGAAGTTCATTCTCTAATGGATCTAAAACAAAACTTAGGCAACCCCCGCCTACAGTTTGTGACAATAGATTCAGAAACATCCATGTTCCGTGAAGGGGCTGGGATATTTATCGTGGGTTACCTGGGACTACTCAGTAGGTACGTGGGTTTGTCCACGAGCTCAATATATTTTTTCTACAAACGTCAGTAAACATATATTTTTTGACGCATGCTGTCAGTGTCTAAAATTACATTTTAGGACACTGGTGTTAAAAGTAAATAGTGATTTATTTTTATAGGAAAATATAGAAAGAAAACTCGTACTGTCGCTTTGACTAACTAGACAATAACTCAAAATCAGCTTTAATGACAGCTTCTTCAATTTCCGATGGTAGAAATTCGTTTTGTTGATCACTTTCCATCGAGGAACGAAAAAACGAGAAAGAATAATTTGGATTTATTGACGTTAGTTGTCAACAAATTCAGTAGAAAAAATAGGGTATGATATACCTGCTGAAAGTGATTTTATTTTGTTGGAAGGAATGGAACACTCAGCCTTTGGCGTCGTGTCCCAAACTTCCTTTCTCACAAAATAAAACATCACTTTTAATACTTATAAATCGCAGCGGGATGCGTCATGATTATGGAATCTGTGGTTATGGTGGGGAATAATGGAGGGAATAATTCAACTGGCGGTTTTTTTTGAATGTCATGAACTAGCGTGGTGTTGTGACTAGCGGTGTTTTCGAAAATTGACTAGCATTGTGTCGTGACTAGCAGCGTTTTCTTCGAATTGACTAGCGTTGTATTTTGAGTAGCGTTGTGTTTTGACTAGCGAGTGTGTGGGACAATTGATTGCAATTGATATCAAGGACAAAGAATGTCTTTCTGCATAATACTATTAGAATCGGGCGTCTACATGGTAGCCCTGAAGGAAGACATAAAGATAAATCTCCGTAACATGGAAGAATTAACTATGCCCTTACATAGAACCACTTTCTTTGAGCGGTCTTTTACTTATCAGGCAGTAACCTTATACAATTCTATTAGTCAATATCTGAAACAGTTGTCTTTACCCACCTTGAAGAATAAACTCAAACAGTCACTTCTGGAGGAGCAGCGAAATACATAATAAAAGTATATTTGTACTCATATAACTTATATACATAGAATTTAGAGTTATTAACATCTTGTTTATGTACCTATAAATCACCATATCTAAATTGTATACCAACTTTGTACAAAAACCTTGGTTGAGTGGAAGAATAGCTCTGCTAAACTCCGCCAAGTAAAATAAAGGCCATTTATTATTATTATTATTATTATTATTATTATTATATCGGATCGTGGGGCCATAGTCAGAGTTGGGTTGAATTTGGAGAAAATTGAGATATTATGTGCAAACAATAATTATAAATTGTTGAGTTCCATGTGTATACAGCACAATCTCAAGACTTTCCGAGTGAAGATACAAAAATCGTTAGAAATAGAAGCACAAGTAAGAGCTGAAGCAGAACATCTAGTACTAGTTGAGGAAAACTTTATTACACCACCTGATCAGCAGTTAGTTGTTCCCGATACTCCTTCGAAATTAGGAAGGTTAATTGAACATTCTAGTGCCCCAGCAAGAAGCATTGGTACGTGCAAGAAACTCAATTTTGAATAACTGACATAATTCTTAGATAATGTGCAAGTTGTAGGTGGACAATTTGATCAAAGTTACAGTGAAACAGTTAATATGGAAGAATTCAATACCATTAACTGCATTACAAATGAAAATGGTATGTTAGTTCCAAGTTCAATTCAGAAAGAATGTGGAGATATAATTCCCCTTCCCACCCTGGATGTTTCACCTGCTTAAATTATGGTGCCTATGGAACTCTCTGACGACATTTCAATTGCAAAGGAACAATCAAAGTCAGGAACAAATACTATTTAAATACTTCATTATTCGCATCTTTTTCTTCATTGTGCAGTTTGGTTCATCTTGAAATTTTCAACGACATGAATCAAGATAAAATCATTTCATGAGAATATCCATGAAAAAATTAGTTCTTATGGAACATCCCAGCAAACAATAATATATGGGCCATCACTTTTGAAGTAATATCACTACAGTGAACTATTGTTTGCACAATTAAAAGCCCAGTGGCCGACTCAACGCCGAAAAATAATTTCACTTCATACTATACCAATTTGTTATTTCAGATTGCGATTGAATAATGTATAATTATTATGTATAACAACTTTATATCTATTCTCTTGTTCACTCCACATCTCACAATGACAAATGACGACACATGACCAAATGGGTTAATTGTGGCTCACCTCTAAAGGTTACAGTACACTGTACAGAGGGCTGTTATTCGAGCCTCATCATTGGGATCTCGTAAACCGTAAGAGATATAGGGTGGGTTAAATTATGGCGAAGTTGTTCACTTGTCCACTTCTTTCTGCAAAGTTCATAGTTGAATGAGGTGAGATTTGCTGAAATCAGTTCTAAACTGGCGAAATAAAATGCTTATAGAAATGGCTAAACGAGAACATTGAAATAATTATATTCTTCATACTTTTGACACCTCTTATCTCAGAAAATTTGTAATTATAAGTAAGGGATCTGAAAATGAAAGTTGTCTGTCTTATTCTGAGTCACCCTCAAGTACCTATCAAGAATATAATATTGATCTTTCCAAATCATTGATGAAAAATATTTCTAAATTATTTTTAAAATACACTACACTGTTTTACCACTAACCAAACCGATTTTTTAACACCTCGAGTGTAGTGTATTATCCTGCCAAAGGTTCCAATCTTCGATATATTTTTGAAATATCAATACATATTTCCGAATATTTGGATTATTCGCTTGAGAAGTTTTCAGATTTTTTTGAGAACAATTCGTGCTATCTGGGAATTATAATGTGGAGTGGACATTTAGGTTATCAAAATATGTCTGGAATGACTCATGAGTTTCTCAAATTGTTCCGAAAATAATAAATTCTTCTATGATGAAATAATAATTATCCAAGAGTAAATTGTTACTTGCATCTAGATTCAAATATATTCAAGATTAATGTGCAATTTTTACTAACTCAGCAACTGTTACATGCATGATAGTGCTATTACTTTATTTTATTCTTATTTGAGACACATTTCTCTCATAGAATTGGCTCAAGATTTTAACAAAAATTGTATGGTAACTCTATTCCCACACTGTTATAAGTTACATTAATATGAATCTTCCCCTATAAAATTTCATTGACATTTTTATTCTATAGCTTGTTGCCTGATCCATGTGAAAAACAACCAACTATGAATAATGCATCAAGTACTACAAGTTCTTCGACTGTCGTCACTAGTACAGAAACCATTGACCACAACAAATCTAAAAGTAAACAGAATTTTTGCAAATTCTGCAAACTAAAACGGACAAATTTGATCCAGCATCTGTTAAAAAAACATGCTTCAGAAGAAGAAGTTAAAGATTTCCCAGAATTTCCTAAGGGTGAGTATTAATGAACTATAAAGTATGTTCAAGACAGTACCTAACTTCTTTGAAGGGTTGGCTCCGTGATTATAAACTCATTCTTAGTCATGCTATTCTCAGATGCAAAACTATTCAAATGTTCAATCTTCTAATATTGAAAATTGATTTCAAATAAATTTTTCTAGTTTCAACTTTTCAGTGACTAGATGAATCATCATCAAAGCAAAGTTTAATGATGTCTGGTTCTGTACCGGGTGACACGTTATAACTCTTTTATTTTTCACAGTAAGAAAATAAAAACAGCCTCATCGAATTTTTTCAACTTCTCGAATCAAGAGATACGTTTTTAGTATCTGAGAAGCTATACAGGGAGCAAACAGTGTACGAAGTTTGAATAGAATACCTTATATATTTTCTCACCATTGCTGGAAAGAGCTTTCCAAGTATAACACACCAGGAAGATATACTTCATATAGTCAATCATTGATCAAACCAATGCATGACATTGCCAACCATATAATGAAAAAATATATCTTCTCTCGTTTTAGAGAAGGTATCATCAAAGAAACTATTCGGTATGATAAGTTATTGATCATATATGGAAACACAATGTGTGCCAAGTATCGTTCTCAGAATCATTATGCCATGATCAGAAATCGTCTCATATTGGTGGCCAAGTTTTTAAATGAAATAAAGGAGAAAGACAATAGCATTAAGGACCTCAGAAGCTTGATGTGTCCCCAATATTTCAATAACATCGTAATGGCTATGAATTTGTTGGGAAATTATGATGAAAAGTTTGGATTTTTCATGAAACCAACAATTCCCACAATTTTGGGTACTGCACTCAAATATATAATACATTTACACATTTCTGAATGTATAAAACTCTCAGATAAAAGTGGAAAAGAAAGTGCCAATGACTTACTCAATTTATTGACAACTGCTCTGTCTGCTCACATTAATAAGACTGCCACTGAAAGTTTACTCAGACAGAAAAGGCAGAATCCTGTACTTTTGCCAACTCTTGATGATGTCAAGAAATTGAATATATATTTTCTTGAACAAAGAAACAAATACTTCAGATGCCTTGAGAAAACATTTTTTCGGCAAAATTAGACCAATCTTGCAAAATATACATTGGTTTCAATACTAATATTCAATAGAAGGCGACCAGGTGAGTTAGATAGAGCTCTTGTATCTGATTTAGAGAGTCTTCAGTCAATTCATGATACTGACAATAACCTATCTGAAGATGGACAGAGGGCATTAAAAAACTACATAAGATTTTGTATTCGAGGTAAATTGGCCAGAGGAGTGCCAGTTCTCATGCACACATCCATGCATGAGTGCATGGAATTTTTGAAATTTTATTTCAAAATACAGGGATCAGACGGGTGTGCATCCAGACAACCCATACATTTTTGCTCAGCCACAAGTACACACGGACAATCAAAATGTTGTATATCGGCACTTATGGGCTTATGCCTAGATAAGATCATATGCTGAGAAATGTGGGGCACAGCATCCAGAAACGCTACGAGCTACTAAATTGAGAAAACATATAGCCACTATATCTGTAAATTTGAATCTTGACAATGATGGAATCACCCTTTTACAAAATTTCCTTGGCCATGAAGATAAAGTACATAAAAATTATTACAGGCAACCCATCATCTTACAAGATATTGTGAAAATAAGTAAACTGTCAGAAATTGCTCATGGTCACGATGGTACAAACGAAGATTGTGAATCAGGAAACTCTGCTTGTACTAGTGTTGCTTTCACCACATTTGCTGCTTCCACTTCTGTTTCTTCCACTTCTGCTGTTTCTATTGCTGCTGCTCCTCCTAATATTTATATTACTACCGATCAAATAATTCAAATTGAGAAGGAAACACCTCATATGTTTGAGGATGATAACAGGCCCGATACTCCAATAAATAATATACAAAGAGGTTGTACTACTCCCGAAAATTATTGGATACACAATGGAAGAGAAGATCTGAGCACCATCATAGAAGATGATGAATTATCCGAAGATGAGACTTACGTGCCGCAGAAAGACTTTGAATATGAACTCGAGAAATCTAAAAATGAATTTCCATCGACGCCAAAGAAACGCAAAAGGAGATTATTAGGTATTTATAAAACTATTAGTCCATTTCACGAGTACATGATGTTTTTTCAATAAAACTTTTGTTTTGAATCGAAACAATTTACTGTCACTTCTTGTTTCCACAAGTGCACCATAACAATACCTAGAAGACCTATTTTTTTGGAGACAAGCGATCCCAACTACATAGTGATCAAAAACAGTGATTAAAATAGATGTATTATATTAAAAGTTGTAGGTTACTCATCGCTATGGTTGCCGAAATAATTCTCAGAAGCTCTCATAGAACTTGTGCAAGTAGCATGTCATAAAAGTAATATAAATGTTATGTAATTATCAGTAGTAATACCACTAGTGATTGAATTTTCGCGATAAGTCTGTCGATTCATTTCTGAATGAAACTGAATTGATCAAGAACGCATCACGAGTCCGCAGGGCTTGAAATAGTCGCTGATATACATTGTGATGAGTAACCATCTTATTCCGATTTGAGTAATACACACTAATTCAGTTCGGACAGTTCAATTTTTGGGTTTGGGTCAATGGATTCAAACTGGAACATTTTTCATGAGAATATATTCTTGGCATATAGACACATATCTCCGTTTTTTTCAGCTGTTGACCTAGGATACATATCAAGAAGAACCTGGTCTACACCAGAAAAACACTGTGAGGTTCAGCAAATAATTTTTTGAAAATATTTCCAAAAAACTAGGTAGATCATCCGAAGGGAGGACTATCCAGCAGCTCACATCCAGCTTATCGGATCTTCTGGACAAGCTCTTACAGAAACTCAGGGACGATGGAGGGCTGCTGCAGATGGGGACCACCTCTTGGTTTTCGATGGAGGACACGGACGAGGAGAAGATCCAAACACCATCGAATTTTGTATCAAGCGCACGTGGAAAGTTCTTTTTAGGCAAGAAGTGAGTTTGCCAGCCTTTTTCAAGAACATGTTCTCTTCCCTTATTGTTGAATGTATGTCAGTTAGACGGCAATAAAGTCATAGAGTTCAAATTTGGAAAAGTTGTATTTCCATTTGTAGAACCCCAAATAGCTCTACAGTACATGGTGAACTGATAGTTGTATTTTCGATGTGTTCAACATTCTGTATGTTGAGCGAGTTGACAAGATGTTATGTATGTATGTCAGTGGGACGGCAATAAAGTCATAGAGTTCATATTTGGAAAAATTGTATTTCTATTTGTAGAACCCCAATAGCTCTACAGTACATGGTGTCAGGTGGTCACAAATAGAATATACATTGAAAATATTGCAAGTTTACTTAAATGTAAGAACTCAAATCTGAAAATGAAATTCTCAAAAAACAGATGCTGAATTTCTCCGGGAAAGGAGCATTTCTTCTATGGGACATGTTTAAGAATGATCGCTTCACCATGAACGGGGAGTGGACCCAGGATGAGGCTGCTCAGGTTATGTAGCATTGCACATTTGGCACCTTCAAGGAAGACCTTGGTATTCTTGGGGAAATCACTAACCAGGGGAACTGGTTTACGAGGAAAGATCCTGGGGCCAAGTTCAAAAAGCACAACACCTCAGGAAAAGTTGTGTCATTCAGCCAGATACCACAATTGTATTGGTCAAAACTCACCAGTGCTTGCCAAACTAGCATGCTAAGTGGAAACTACTTCCAAGACTCAAGCCTTCCCT